GTTATGATTCTTGTTTCTTTTTTAAAAGGTCAGGTGGACCTGAATCTGTTTATCTACTTTTATATGTAGATGATATGTTACTTGCATGCCTTAACAGATCTGAAATTGATGCTATTAAAGTAAAGTTAAAATCTGAATTTGAAATGAAAGACTTGGGGCAAGCTAAGAGAATTTTTGGGATGGAAATAGAAAGAAATAGAAATAATTGCACACTAATCCTAAAACAATCTGCTTACATGCATAAGATACTTGAAAGGTTCTCCATGCTTGACTATAAACCTGTTTCCTTACCACTTTCCAATCATTTTAAATTGTCTACTGAACAATCAGCAAAGACTGATGAAGAATTTAAAAGAATGGAAAGAATTCCTTATGCTAACACTGTAGGATCTGTTATGTATCTCATGGTATGTACTAGGCCAAATTTAGCTCATGGAATAAGCATATTAAGTTGATTTATGTCAAATCCCGGTGAACTACATTGGCTTGCTATGAAATGTACGTTGAAATATCTGAAAGGAACATCTAATTTGGGCCTATTGTTTAAAAGGTGTGATGATGGCATAATTCTTAAGGGCTATACTGATTCAGACTTTGCTGGTGATTTAGATAAAAGAATATCAACTTCATCTTATGTTTTCACTTTGTGTGATAGTTGCATAAGTTGGAAATCACAATTGCAAAAGCTAGTAGCTTTATCATCAACAGAGGTAGAATTTATAGCTGCATGTGATGCTGTTAAAGAAAGTGTCTGGTTGAGAAGTCTTCTGAATGAAATTGGTTTTATAAATAGCTCTGTCAAAATTTATACTAATAATCAAAGTGTCATTCACCTTAGTAAAAATCCAATGTATCATGATCGCACAAAACATGTTGATGTGAAATTCCATTTTGTTAGAAATATGGTTGAACAAGGCCTAATTAAGTTAGAAAAAATTTCAACAGAATATAATCCTTCTGATTTGGGAACTAAGGTCCTACCCTTAAACAAGTTTAAAAACTGTTTGAATACTCTAAACATTGTTTGAAGGGTACAATGTTTAGAAGTTTCTAATTTTTGGTTTGAACTAATTTTTGTCTTTTTTTTTTGTTTTATAGGATAATAAGAGAAAATGAAAAAAGTAGTGATCTAGCCACTAGAAATTGCCAAGACGTGTTCAGCAAGGTAGAGATTGTTGAGCCCAAAATAATAGTGCCTCACATTCTTAGCCCTTTAAGGCTATTGGGCCGGGTTTACTGAAATGGTCTTGATCCAATTGCTAAGAGAAACGTATTCTCTTGAAATGCGACTTCTGCCTCATTTATGGATATAATCTGGCCATACATCTGGCCATCTCCTCACCGTTGATCAATGACTCTTAACTTACCTGATTTAAATGTTTGGACGCCTCATTCTTCCTTCTAGAGAGATCGATTCTGAGTGGATTCTAGGGTTTCTCCCTTTCTCTCAAACCACTTATTTTCTGAGTGAAAATGATTTCTGTAAATCTGAGTGATTTTGATGCTACACTTGATGTATAATTGTGATATTGCTTAGTGCGAGTTAGTGGTGGTGTTGTGATAGTTTTGTGTGAGGCGAGATTAAAACAGTGAAGAAACTTTGTGTTTCTTCGTACATTTGTAACATTCTTGCTTTTGTTTCTAGTGGATCTAGAGCTATATCTACCTAGTAGATGCTTAACGTGGTGAGTAGGCCGTAAGGCTGAACATCCGAGCCTTTGTGGCGAAAAAATTCTTTGTGTTCATTCTTTTATTTTTCTGCAACTTCAATATTTCAGTGATTCTTGCGATAATTTGTATTCGGTAAACCTCCTAAGAACTAACAGAAACTCTTCTGTGGAAAACACCATCATCAAATGAGCAAACCACAATTTTCAAAAAAGCATAAGATGAGCCAAAGGGTGGTGCTCAACAAAGTTTTCTTGAAACCGATATTGACGGAGCTGATCTTTGATTGGTGAACTTACTAATTGATTGCAAAAGACTGGCTATGGAAGGAAATGCTGATGATTGTTTTGAGGTGCAATTGTTGATTGGCTGATTAACTAGAAATAATATGATCTCATTGATGTTGTAAATAAGTACTCAGTAAGACAACATTTACATATCCTATCTATATTTCAATTCTTATTATTCACCCAAAATTCCTATGACTGTTATCTCCGTATTCTAATGTGTAAAACCATAGCAGAATCACCTTATCCATTATGTGCACTTCTATCACAAAAGGAGATGGTTGGCATTACAATGAAAAATCAAATAGAAGGTAAACCACTCTCAATCAGCTTATAAAGTTTAACCATTACAGTGTGGCACTTTTCTTCTATATTATGCATTAAACAATAAAGACATGATCTTTCCATACAAATCAACCACTGCAATGGAGTAGTAGTTCATTTGTCCATAAAATTATACCACTACCGAAATTTACAGAAACAAGATGCTGGTAACATACATAAAACAAAATGCTAGTAACATCACTCATGAAAGTAGAAAACTTCAAGCTAGTCAAAGACCGTATTCAATATCATAGCTCTCATTACAAGACACCAATTGTGATATCAAAAGAAAAGGCTCTAATATCTACGGACATTTAACATACAAAACAAAAATTTGCCAATTCAATTGACAAGAACTTTACAACAAATGAGCCCAACGAAGCTGCCATTTTGTTCAAGTATTAATATGCCTATCTGTCATTGCATGAAGACCGCATCGAAGTGGCCCTATTCACAAGTCAGCTATGTCGTGCCCTTTCACTCTCAATCTTGAAAATTCAGTCTCGTCTATGTCTTGCAACTCATCAACCAAAATGACTGTTAGTCTAGATCTAAGCATACCAGATGATGAATAAAACAAGCAACATTTCGAATATTTAGCCAAGACGTTTCTCCCTAAAAGAAATTGCCATACACAACAAATTTCCATACACTTTATAAATTACACATTGCTAGAAAGATGAATAATACTTTTTCCTGACATATCTACAATTGAACAACAATGGATCTAGTGTTGATGAACAAATGGGTCGTCAATTTGAGCTAGCAGCCAAAATAGAAACTTTGGCCTTTTTTGTTCTTAAAATATATCCTTCTTTTGCTCGGAAGTCATAGTCTAACGTGTGAACAGAGGTTGGAAGATGGGAGCCAGAGAAAGGTTGACACGGCCGTTGAAGGGTTTTAAGTCTTTTCTAAATTGGTTTCTTGCAATCTTTCTTTCTTTCTTTTTTTTAAAAGAATCAATTTCACTTTAGTCTAATGGGTCAATTGCAATGGCAGCAAGCCCACTTTCTCTTACTCCAGCATGTTGGTGCTTTTAAAAGATAATGTGGAAATTACAGGAAACCATACTTTATACATTAATAGTTCTAAAATTAGAGTGAAGGTTCAATTGTTCAAAAATCAGATATTTAATGTTTAAATATTAAATATTATAATACAAATTTTATTCCAAACCCTAATTAATTCCCCATTTCTTTTCTCTCTCTTCATTCCTCCATTTCACTTTAGTCTAATGGGTCAATTGCAATGGCAGCAAGCCCACTTTCTCTTACTCCAGCATGTTGGTGCTTTTAAAAGATAATGTGGAAATTACAGGAAACCATACTTTATACATTAATAGTTCTAAAATTAGAGTGAAGGTTCAATTGTTCAAAAATCAGATATTTAATGTTTAAATATTAAATATTATAATACAAATTTTATTCCAAACCCTAATTAATTCCCCATTTCTTTTCTCTCTCTCCATTCCTCCACCCCCCCCCCCCCCCCCCCCCCTTAATCTTCTTTAATACCACCACCACCGTTGTTGCACGATGCTGCAAAATCACACCTCTACCGGCGGTTTGCTGCGCCGCATGTGGCGTTTAGCCCAGCGCTGCACGCAAAATGCAATATCGCATCCCTCACCTAGCAATGTAAGGCGGTGCTAAAATCTAGCTGTGGTGGTAGCTATTTCGCGTTGGCTCTGGTGGTGTTTGTTGTTGGTTGTGGTCGCGATAGTATAGGCTATGTGATGTGGGTGCATTGGTGTGTGCTGTGGTGGTGCGATGGTGAGGTGTGGTGGTGGCTCAAGCGGTGATGTGATGGTAATATGGTGGTCTCAGTCGATTGGATGGTGATGCGGTGGTCTCAGTCGATTGGATCAGTTGAGATGGTGGTGATGTGTAGTTGTGGTGGTGGTTCTAGTGGCGGCGATCTGGGTGATGTGATGGTTGTCATTGGATCTAGTGGGTTGTGTTTCGAGCACCGGTGTTGGATAGTGTCGCAGTGCTCTCAGTCGGTGGCAACGTACGCTCCGCCCGTCGGTGCAACAGCTCTCTGGGTGGTGCAACAGCTCTCTAGGTATAGTGCTTAGTGGTGCAGTGAATGTGGAGGTGGAGGTGTGCGTTATGGTTGTGGTGTTTGGGTGGTGAGTGTTTCTGTGATGCTATGGGTATGACTGTGGCGTGTTGTGGTGGTTTTGTAATGCCGAGGCTATGACAATGGCGATGGTGCTATTGTGACGCTGTTGGTGTGGCAATGATGGTTCTGGCTGTAGTGGCCACAAGTGTCGGTTGTGGTCACAGATGATTTGGTTGCGGCTGATGACAATGGTGACGTAGTGGTCACAAGTGTCGGTGGTGGGCACAGATGATTTGATTGACTATGAGTCTGTGACCATTAAATTGGTTAATCCGTGGCCTAAAAATTGTGACTGTGACTTACAGTTGATTAAGTTGTGACCAAAAAATTAATCGTGACCAATTAATCTAATACTTTGCAAAGAATAAATGAGTTGTGACCAATAAAAAATTTGATCAGTGACCAATGAATAATCTGTGACCGACAAAATTTTTGATTAGTAATTGAAAAAAAATTTGTAACTTATAAAATTTTGATTTGTGATAAAAAAAATAATAATAATAATAAGTTGTGACCAACAATTTGATAGATTATGACTAAAAATTAATCTGTGACCAGTTAAATAGATAACTGTGACCAAATTAATAAAATATATAATTAATTGATTAAATCATAATCCTCCTTACAAACATCTTCTACGTCATCAATCCTTAAGAAGTTGTGGATGGCATAACAGGCAAGGACTATCTTTGCTTGTGTGTCAATGTCGTGATAGGATTGATGTCTCAAATATGCAAATCTTTTTTTCAGCAAACCAATTGTACGCTCAATAACATTACGTAGAGATGAATGTCGAGAATTGAACAACTCCTTACTACTTTCAGGACGTTGACCTTCAATTTCTCTACGATGATAACGAGTCCTACGACATGGTGCAAGAAAACCCGAAACTGATGGGAAGCCAGCGTCAACAAGATAATATTTACCTAGGAAAGAGTCATTCATAATATGGTAATTAGATAATTATTATAACTTATGTGTGAAAGAAATGTTTTCAAAATAGTGACACAACTTACCAACATGAATTGTTAGCTTATGTCCTTGGCGTAATATTTCACTCCGTAACAATTGACCATCGTGTGCGGATCCCTCCCAACCGGCAAGCACGTATGTAAATTTCATATCAAATGTACAAGCTACTAAAACATTTTGGAAAATCACTTTCTTTCTATTGCGATATTTACCTTGTTCCTCTAAAGGCACATACACAGCAATATGTGTCTCATCGATTGCTCCTACGACATCCTTTAAAAAAGAATACTTTTCAAAATAAATGTGTCTATTGAAGTTTTAAGAAAAATGATGAAATGACTACAAACCCCTAACCTAAAAAATGGAGTACCATGGCTGTACATTTTCTTTTTCGTATGGTGAGTTATGAGGAGTGGCATTAATCACAACATCTCTATACAGTCTAAGAAAAGCGTGTAACACTCTGTGAAAGTAAAAGCTCACTGTTTGACCAGATCGAAAGAAAGTAAAACATCTAGCTCGATTACGTTGGTCATGCCCTACTGTAATAAAAAAAAATTGCAGCTTGTTCCTCAATTCGAACATATTTACTGTCAACCAATCCATAAGTTCGCAAACGAGCACATAATCTTTGAAATGGACCTATTTTCATCCTAAGTAGATCACGACATATTGTATTACTCGTGCTAAACATTCGTGTAAGTGTTATTTCTCTTTCAGAATTCCAATTTGTATGAGGAGCTCTTGGAAGATGCCGTGCACGATGCTTAAGGTCCTTATATATCACAATCGCTTGCATGTCCATCGTCCAAAACAAACCTAAATGTTGTCATCGGCATCGACATTAATTCGTTGTTGTAGCCACGTTATAAACTACCAACGTAAATAAAAATTCAATAAAAATTTGTTTATAAAGAATAACATAAAAGCATTAAAGAATAAAAAGTTAACTGTAGCTACATCTAAATAGAAATTCATTGCATGAGCTTCCAAGCATAATGTCAACTGGTTATATTAGAATTCTTGATAGGGGACCCAAAATAGTAAATTGGATAACAAGAAGAGGTTATAACCATTAGTTCTCTACCTTGATGGCAAACACTTAAAATTATGCATATGCTCCATAATTCAATACTTATATTCAATAATAGATTAACTTGAATTCTTACTTACCCTCTTCAATAAAAATAGATAGCCCACAATCAGTATTCATAAGCACTCCCCAACATAAAAAGATAGCCCAAAATAAATTTCTTATAAGACTTGTGTATATATTTACAGGCATAGGTTTGGCCAGTTGAATTCTTAGTGCAGAGGTAAGTTACCCCAAATTGTCCCCTCCCTAATTCTTTCCCAAATGTGTATTTTGAACTCATATCCTTAAAAAGGCTTTCCTATAATATTATTGAGTACCAATATTTGAATTGGATTTTGGGGTCTACTGATGGAGGCAATTTTGGTGGCTGAGGCGGTTTCTACAATGGTGGCTAATGGTGCTAGTTAGGCTTAGGCTTAGGCTTAGGCTCGGGCTGAAGAGTGAACTGAGTTGATGGTTTTCGAGAATTATAATGGATTTGTTCGTGACCTGGCTTGATTATTCTTGATGAAAGATCAGGCCATTATTTTCTCAGCAGGTCATAAATTTATGATTGCAACTTTTCAACTGGATTATGAAATGGGTTGTAATATGACAAATCCAAGGGGTAAAAATTTGCTTTGTTGGGGGTCAAAACAGAAAATAAAAAATTACAGATGAGAAAAATTCTAGAATCCATGTTCCATTCTGCATACAATCACATGGAATCTCAAAATTAAGAAAAACAAAAACAAAAATTGGAATATGCAACTTGAAATAATGAGGTGCCCATGAGAAAACGCACCCTAATTTTTAAACAAAGAGAATCAACAAGATTGATTAAAAAAAATTTGCTTTGTACTCAATCTAATTAAGAATTATAAACATATAGAAATCAAATACGGTGGTTTGATTGTTAAACTAACCTCAATCTATGCAGTCACAACCTTGTTGCCAACCTTTTGCAGTGATTACCTCGGAGGCAGACTGGAAGCAGAGATGGGTCACCAATTTCTTCTTCCTGGTTCGGTTGAATCGATGAGAGAGACGGTAGTGATTTGTACGTAGAGAGAGAGAGAGAGATTAACGTGGGTTGATTACCTAGAATTTTTGGAAAGGTTAAATTCCATGGAAAATAAAATCTACCTTCCCCCAAGAAAAATATTTTCCTTGTTTTCAAGAAAAAAGTAGTCACGTAACCAAAAGAAAAAAAATATTTTTCTTGAAAAAAATTGTCAATCAAATAAGATAAAAGTAAGAAATTAGGTGAAAAAACTCATTTTCATGAAAAATGTGTGCAATCAAACACACCCTTAGTTTTAAAATGGGTAATACTTACCTTCTTACTTACGAATTTTTCCCAAAGAGAATCCTTGTTACACATTTTTCAGGCTCAACCGATGTGGGATCGTGTTAGGCTGATTTTAAAAGATTATCCTCCTACACATTTTCTTTGGGGAACCGATGTGGGATAAGAGGCTAGTTTCATAAGATTATCCACAACCCACATTCTCTATGGTCGACTGAGAGATAAGTACAGCCAATTGAATTTTTTAATTGTTTAATTATCTACTTCATTCTACATTATATGGAATTAAATCATGATCCCCAAAGCACAAACAATTTCATTTGAACAAAGCAAATTATTTTGGACATATTAATAATTAGTTTTTGAAGTTTTAAAATAAATTACAAGATAATAAATCTAATGAATTTATATTTAGTTTGAATTAGCAATACTAATTTTTTTTAACAAAGTTGTTATATATTTTTATTATTTACACATATTTATTTAGTTTTGGCATCCGGTTCGATCCCGATTCAACCCTTTGACCCTTATTCTTTTCCGGGTCGATGTCCGGTCCTATTTTAAAAATATGGACAAGTACTATCCACATAGTCCTTATTTGGTATAGATTAAAATCAAATTAAAATTTCAAGTCAAAATCAACAATATAACGCCATTGCCACCCCATCTACTTGAGCCTCCATTATTACTTTACTAAAAAAAAATCATAAAAATATATTACTTTATAAAAATTGATTTTAAAAATTATATTTGATAGATTATATAATTTTGAAGCACAATTTAACATATTAAAATTAAAATCATTTCATGATAAAAATGAAATGGTAATAAAAACTTATTTCTCGAAAAATAAATATTTTCATTTGTTAACATGTTTGGTCTTCATTTCTTAAAATTTATTTTTCTTCAAACATATTTTCAATCATATATTTATGGAATTCACACTTTTGCTCTTGAATTAACCCCCTCAATAAATTATTATTTAAACGATTCGTAAACATTTTGATTGATATTATTTTTTGGTCAACCAAATGATTACTATATACCTTTTACGTACATATATAAAATAATATTTTTATTTAAACTTACTTATGTGCTCAAAAATAAACTTTCTAAAGGTACATGGTTGATAGCGTGAGAAAATGGTGAAAGAGATAGTGTGTAGAAATAGAGACGCATGGTTGTAGAGTGTAAAAATGGAAAAAGAGTAAAGAGAGCTCTATGACATAATCCTCCACACCGCATAAATTGAGGAAAAGCAACAAAGTCACTGCATCAAATAAGTAAGATAAACGACGTCGTTTCTTTCTCTCAATTAAAAAAAAAAGGCTACAGTGAGACAAAATGGAGGAATCTACTGTTCTTTCTACAGTAATAAAATATTGCCCTTTTTATATAATAGTGAGATAGTAATTAACCTCCTTGCAAACTAATTTTAACTTGGTTTTTAGGTTTCAAATTTGTATTGTAGTGCTTTTCTGGTAGGAATTGCTTGATATCGTTTTGCATTGTTATTGTAGGCTTCCAGGCTTCAGAACAAAATAGAGAATGCTGCTGGTGAAAGACTGAAAAGCCAGAAGTCTAGGGTTAATAAAATTCAATCTGTGAGTATGCAAATATTTAAAATGAACATTTAAATTTTGAAAGAACAATTCTACCAATTCATAGCGATTGATTGTCAGGATGTTGACAAAAACAGCACTGAGATTAACCGTCGCAAAGCTCAGATAGAAACCGGCCAGAAAATGATAAAGAAATTGACGAAGGGTGTTGAAAAGTCAAAGAAGGAGAGAGAGACTTTTGAAGGAAAAAGAGAAAATGCATTCCACATTCAAAGAAGTTGAACAGAAGGCTTTTACTGTGCAGGAGAACTATAAGAAAACACAGGAGGTTAGTTTTGTAGACGTGTATGCTTGTACACTGTGGATTTATGTTTGGCTTCATATAAAATCAAACAATTAGAAGAGTTGATTCTGTATGGTGTACTTTTTGTAATTGCAGTTAATTGATCAACACAAAGATGTTTTGTATAAAACAAAAGTTGACTACGAGAGACTGAAAATAATTGTGGATGAGTTACGGGCATCAGAGGTTCGGTTCACTGACTTCTTTCACCGTTTACTTTTTGCTAGTCAATCTATTTATTTTAACTGTTAGTGCAGGTGGATGCTGATTACAAATTGCTCTCTCAAAGCACCTAGAGCAGTAAGCATTATCTTCTTACAGCAGTGTTGCAATAGTAGAGGGTGTTTAGATCCTTCCTTATTTTCATGTGTGTGTGTTCACCTTTTCCGTTTCTATACTTGGATGCACCAGTTCTGAATTTTCCCTTTTTATTGTTACAGGATTCAGAAAGATTTGGTGGATCCAGAAAAGATGCAAGCAACACTGGCAGATGGAACTCTTGAGGAGACTCACGACCTTAAGGGGGCATTTGAAATGGTGTCACTTCTTGAGGCCCAATTGAAAGAGATTAATCCAAATCTTGACTCAATCATGGAGTATGCACGTGACTCTGGTCTTTTAATATGATATCAAATTGTACAAATTTCTTTTATGGAGATCTCTGTGCTAACACTAATAGTTGTATTAGGTGTAAGTATTATGCCCTAAGTCCAATTAACTTTGGACATAAATACTTTTGATATATAATTAATGCAATTTAATGGCAGATCTATTATTTAATTTATAGATAATTAAATAAATAATATAGTCCGTAAATTCAAGTCTTCGTAATTTGTTAATCACAAGAGTTGTGATTGTGAGATACAAATTACATCTGATTGAATCTTAAATCGTCCATGGCCATAAGTAATAACGAGATACAGATATCGTTATTACGGATAGACTATCACGTGTGGCATTTCTTACTTGTAAAGTGAGTAGCTGATCTCACAACTTAAAGTGTGATGACACTTAAATGAACACGTGGATGTTTTGTTATAGAACAAAATATTGGAGACCCGTCGAGAGATTCCACATGGATAACTATCTGAGTGTCAGTGGTTAATCTCTAACGTTCGGTAGTGAAATTGGTCCTTTGACTTGAGGTCGTCATGGTACCTTATATGAGGACAGTCATACTTTGGCGATATCGGATGTTGCTCTGCAAAGGGCCGCTAATACGACATCGTTCGGGTACATCAAGAATCGTATGAAGGTTGTGATTGATCAATAAATGATTTGTCACTCTTAGATAGTAGGAGATTATAATCTGTGTTTCATTCAATTAAGTCGATGATGAAATTCTTGGTTAAGGTGTACTCATAAGTCGAAAATGAGTTTTCGACTTATATTGACTTAATAGTGGAGTGAAAGATATGATTGATAATCGAGATTGACATACTTCCATATCTCGTAATTGATCGAATCATATAGACGAAGGGATTATAGTTTCACGGTAAACGAACGAGTTTGGCTT